TATAGGTAATTATCTAGGCCCCTGTAGTAGGTGCGTTACAATCCGTGGAATGCAGATTTTCGGTTTGGGGCCACGGGTTAGCGGCAGGAACTCCTCCCTGCTGCCCTGGCGTTCTGCTGCCTTCTGCTCTCAAACACTGATGGGTGGTTGTCAAAATTATGGTCCCTTTTTGGGTCCTTATTATAATACGGCACCTACTATTTAGGGTACCCGAAAAGGGACCATAATTTGGACAACTACCTTGATGGAACTGGCATACACACTTCACTGGGACACACGACCAACATCAACATGTCTGGCGGGTTATAACATCAGCGTCCAGATCTTGATAGCATATGAATGCATATGACTTCGACTTTAGATGACATGGCGAAGTGCAACATCGCCAACTCGAAGCGCTCACACGGAATCCACAAATCTGACGCCCATAGATTCCTTGACGAGTCCGGTGCTCCACATGAACAGCGCAATTGGGATGCCGGCGGCCAGCCTGTAGCTCGGGATTTCGGGTTTGGGGTTTTGGTGCTTTGGGGTTTAAGATTTTGTAGGGTTCAAAGGCGCTTGGGGCTAAGGGTTTTGAGCTGTCGAAACTTGATATCATTTTCGGCTCCCTGTCTATGACTCGGTTGCTTCGTGCATTGGTCAACGAAAGTTGACAGATTAGTAGAACAAACGTTCAATGTCAGAGATACTCAGCCACTAAGATAAAGTACCAACTTGGCACGGAGGTCTGTCTTTCCGCAGCTTCCTCTTCTTGGTACTTGTCACGCTAGTAGTACTGTCATGCTACCCTACGGTTATTTGCTCGTATCCTGATTTGGGGGTTTCCGAAAATGGGGGCCTAATATAGTACGCTAATTAATAGGATCCCTATTATAAGGACCCCAAAATAAGGTACCCTGATTTTCTGAAACTCCCATTTGTGTTTTCTTCCAATGCTGTCATGCCCCAAGTCACAAGCAGTGTCAGCAAGGAGTAGCTGTCAAGTCCTGTACGTCTTTCAAAACAGCCCAGAATAAGGCTGTGAGGTCCTCATGACGCCAAGTCGAAAAAGTTAAAATCCCAAACCCCAAACCCTAAAGTCGAAAAAGTCCCTAAACCCGACACCCTAAACCCCTAAACCCGTGCCTAAAGACATAAGCACTCTCCGTCCTCCACGCAAAAGCCCGAAAGCCCGACAGGAAAAAACACCTAGTGTAGGGCCTTAATAACTAGAATAGGGTTTTGGGGTTCCCTTTAAAGGGTTCCTCAAAGGGTCCTATAAGGGCTACTATAGGGGTTTAGGGTTTAGGGGCCTTAATAACTAGAATAAGGTTTTGGGCTCCTTTACGGTTTAATAGTAATAAGGAGCCCTATGCATAATATAAGTATTACTCACCCTAGACATCTAAATCCGAGCTCTAAGCCCTAATCCTCACCCTTATAACTACGAGCCCAATCTGATCCCCTCAAGACGCCATAGACGATACATTAAACACACTCCCTTGGTCTCAAGCTGTAACCAAAATGAGATACACATGATTCCAAAGCAACACATAGATAACATCCGAAGACCCCGTGAATCCCAAAGCCATTGACCCCAAGCCCCCCAAATCCCAAATCCTTACACCGATAAAATAAAGGCCTAAATAATTACCTATACTATCTTGGGGGGGTTCCTTATTCTGGCTATAGTGTACTATACCCCAAAACCCTGTTCTGGTTATTTATTAAGGCCCCTACATTAACCCAAACTCTAAACCCAAAGTCCTTATCCCGTTAACCCCAAACCGCAAACCCAAAGCCCCAAAACCCTAAAGCCCTAAACCGCTACACCCCTAACCCCTAAAACCTCAACCTCTCCAAACCCTAAACCCTAGAGTCCTATCATAGATCCCTTATAGAACCCTTTAGGCGCCCTTCAATGAGCCCAAATCTAATTATTAAGGCCGCTATACTATACAACCTCTATAGTAACCCTTATAGTGTCAGTTTCAAGGAACCCTTTGAAGGAACCCTCTACTTATTAAGGCCCCTAAACCCTAAGCCTCAAAGCCTTTACCCGAGAAGACGGGGCTCAGGCTGGACCCAGGAGACAGCCCAGTTCGCATGGAAGACGTTCAGCAGCCTACGATGGGAGCTTCCCTTGTGTAATGTTTAGGGCATAGGGCTTAGGCTTAAAATAGGGGCCTTAGTAGTTAGAGTAGGGCTTAGGGGTATATGATGCTGCTAATTATACTAAGGAGTTAAATAGCAAAGGTAATTTTTTGGCTTCTCTTTTAGGGGGCCTTAATCATAAGAATGAGGGTTTGGGGCGCATGGGCCTCTTCAAGCATGGCTACCATGAAATACAGCGATCATTGCCAACATTTGCATCGGCAAGATCAGCAAGCACTGTCACCGCATCCATCATTATCATCATCTTCTTCTCTTACTCCCCCAATAAGCCGGGGAAATAACAGGTTAAACTTTCGGATTCTAAACCCTAAACCCTAAACCCTAAACCACTAATAACCGAAAAAGTTTAAAGGTTGGGCTGTCGTCATCACCACAAGGCATCATCATTGATACGAGTCCTGGAGGCTGGTTGCTGGTGCATTGCGCCGCACCGTCGATCCCTTTCTGAAACAACCCTTAGGGACCCAGAAGAAAGCTCACAGAATGGTGGATCTTCATGCCAGAGAATATGGGTAGTTCTCTAAACTAGGGCCCCTTTTGGGGTCCTTTTTATAAGGGTGCCGTACTATACTGGGGACCTGAAAAGGGACCCTAATTTAGAGAACTACCTATATGCAGAAGTATGCGCAAGACCATACCAACTCACAAACAACAAGTCCAGACGCAGGCAACATATACAGGCATATGTGCGTGCATGCGCATGCATGCGTGCAAGAGTGCAATTTCCTGGCAGGTCTACACTTCCGTCAGACAGACTTTTCTACAGCAGGATAGCTCCCGTAGCACAGAGCCTTGAACAAATTTGTACTAGGGCTACATCGGTTTTTGTCGGAGCGGAACTTCTGCGAGCAGAGTCTACACAGGCTGAAATAAGTAGATGTGTCGACAAATGCGGTCATCTACCACTATGTTTGTCTCTGTTCCTGTTGTTGCAAAGGGTTGTACCGGTTGTACCAAGAGCTGTACTAACATTACAAGGCTCGTGCTGATTTAGGGAAACTGACATGGGGTTTGATCCGAATGGACGTCCTGTACTATGAGTCTATGGGGTCCTTGTCATATGCCGCACACGAGCCCAAGTCTGTAACAGTCATCACAAGCGCGGCGCTTCTTGTTCTGAATGTTGTACTGGACCTTGGCAGTATTCACAAGTCTGCATCTTTCCCACACGATAGATCTTGACCCCCAGTTCGGCCACGTAGGCCCATCCGAACTTATTGCCTACTGACCAACTTCTGTCGGGTCAAAAGCGCGAACCTGCACCCAAAGTCCCCTGCATTCGTGTCGAGCCGGCGTTCGCGGTACATATACTCAAAATCTAGGGGGGTTCTTCGCTTGGGGGTGAGGGGGTGGGGGGGCTTGCATGAAGGATCCCATTAATTGGGGTATCACGGGTTCCCTGTTCGGAATTGCCTGTTCTTCGGGGCGGTTATACCTGGACTCCAACTGAAGGCCTGAACCCCAACAACAGCAAGAAGCACTTCTTTCATGGAGAAGCTGTGCATAGATGCGAAAGAGGCAAATCTGTAAGACCAACATCGACAACAGCAACGTCGCCCTTGCCTTCGTGATGGTAGTAGTGGTGGTGCTAGTGGCCGTGATCAGCAAGCAGCAGCAACAACAGCAGAAGCAGCGGCGCAAAACTACGCAACATGATTGCGTGCTAGTCAGTGGCTTGGTGCTCCCTACTTGGAGGATCATGGGACTTAGTAAGTAAAGTTATGAGTACCCTAATTGGGGTTGTAAGTAATTATAAGTCTAGTTCCTTATTGATAACCCTCGTTATTAAGTCCCATGAACCTGTAAGTGACCAATGCCCCCGCCCGAAAGATGACTTACAGGCCACTTGTTCCAAACGTAACCCTGTTTCTGAAATCACCGGCTTCTGAGTAGTGTCAAGGCCTTGATGAATACTTAGAATAGAGTTTAGGGGTATGTTCTACAATAATTAAGTTAGAACAAGGAAGCCCCCAAACAGTATAGGTGATTATTAAGGCCCCTACATTATCTTGACTCTAAGACCCGGTTTCTGTATGGACCTACTCAAAGACCCCTGATCCCGCAAACAGCCCCAAAACCCGAAACCCAAACTCTAGTAAAGCCGTGGTTGCCAAGTGCTAAGATAAGGGCCGTAATCGTTCGGGTTGCATTAAAGTATAGTTCTGCTGAGCCCCATGGAACTGTGTTGGTAATCATTCCGGCTTCCATATTGCCTAGTTCTCAGTAGGGAATGGGGGGAATCGGTCATAGGGACCACTACGAGGGCTCGGAAGGGGCTATGATAGGGATCCATTCCCCTATGCCCTACGAAGG